AACAGTTGATGACCCATCTACTGGTAAAACAAGAGCGTCCCTGAGATCTCCTATGCGGTAGATCTCTCGGTTATGCTAGACCGCCTGATTTGTCAAACCCGTCGGTGCCGAGTACAGACGCATAATGGTGGTGCTTGATGGAGGCCCCAAAGTAAAAAGCTCGGTCGGTAGAAGTGCTTGCTATCATTGAGCCCCACGAATGTCCAGGAGGAGCCACGGCAAGAACGTGTAGCTCGCGTCACTCTATCACAAAGCTTGGATGATACATAATCGTGGACTACAAAAGCTACCTGAGCCGTCAGAGACGCAATGACCCCGACCTTGACATGAGCCACGAAGACATCCGGCAACGCCGACCCACCACCGTCCGACTATCATGTTCCATGAGTGGTTGGAAGGGTGGATGCGCATATTTAAACCAGGATTGTTGTTGCCAATGCGCGTGCCGAGATCTAGTGTGCACCAGCTTGTGCACGTTTGTCATGGACACGGCTTCTCGCACGGAGGCTCTGCTCATCGACATGTAAGTGTCCGAGTGCTCAAGATTTACTTCTATACATCGGAAAGAAGTTGTGTGTGCGGTTTCCGTTTACATAGCGTCGTCGCGTACTCTTCACGACGTAGTGGCCTTTCGCTGTCGTCCTTTTGCGTCTTCGAGCCTACGGAAGTTGTTCAATTGTCAGTCTTAATTGTGCCATCGCATCAAGTAGTACCGCGTTTGGCCACCTTGACACTGAACCTGTTCTGGAGTGCGAAGAGGGTTCACTGCCTCTTGTTGCCTGCATCACGTTTACTACCCGCTTGGCCTCCATCCTTGGTCTGGTGGGGTGGGGTACCTTCGAAATGGGGCGAATGCACCATAAATGTTGCAATCTAAAATTTTATGGACACGGCGTGAGAGAAAAGAGAAGGAAGGAAACAGGTGCAGCCGCTGGGAAACCGGGCACTCGTTGTATGTTTAAGCTGCTACACACCAGCACTGCGCTCTCGTGGCTGGTAGCACGACAAGGGCCTTATCCATAAATTAGACTTCAAATTTGTATTAACCAAGTAATTGCAACCCGACAAACTCTAGACCTACCCCTCTGAGCCTTTTTTTACCAATCAGATGGCTAAGAAATGATATAATCAATATGACTGGCGGAGACTTCTGGTTTCTGCACATTCATTGGACGCGACTTCTAATTTCCTGGCGAGAGTCTCAGTGCCTCAGAGCCACACAGAGATGGAAGAGCGCACGCGCAACGTCCGAGCGCGAGTCCGAGCGGATCGACCGGGCCCGAAGACTCGGGTCGTAGCACCGAATGGAGTTCCGGTCTGCATCCTCTGCGGCATCCGCCGGCAGCACACGGTGCACTGCCCGTACGCCCCGCGATCGCCGTCGTCTCGCATCCAAGTCGCACCTCTTTCGGCGGCATCCGCGACGCCTTGACGACGATGCAAACGGCGCGCAAGGGCTTTTCATCCACTGTCAGCTCCCAACCGGCTGCGCTTGATACTGCTGCTGTACAGCGCGCTCAGCGTCTACCAGACCAAGGCTCTGTGGACGTGTGTCTCTGCGATGTGGCTCACATGCAGTCAAGTCAACTCATCGACGTTGAAGTAAACCGCGCGACTACTTGCAACACACAAGTACGTCCCCCGACGACTCGGTGCAAGAAGCGCAAGCGCGATGACAAGAACATGCCCCGGCGTCAAGTCACCCTCAACAACTCGACAAGTTGGCCGCCACGTGCGAAGTCGGCCTCTACACGCGGTACCGATTGGACCGAGCGTGCAAGAAGGCATGCGACGGGACGTGTCCTCTTCTTGTCGTCGCGAAGGTAGGCAAGCAATCATACCCGCCGTGTGCGAGAAGATGTGGTTGGCGGCAGGATCGAGATGCACAACGCCTGCAAAGCACATTATAAGCTACCATAGTCATATATCGTATTCATCAGTCAATATATAAAGCTTTGCACAATCATCATGCAAGATTCGAGCACAGGTTGGTCGGAACTGATGACTGCGACGCGCTGAGCACGTGAGCAAGAGCCGCGGCGCGCTTCCCGGCTGGACACGTTGCCTGCGTCATGCGTCACACTATTAAGGTTCCACCAATAGAAAGCAGCGATTTATGGCCCATATATGTCCCTCTCGCCCAATCAGATGATGCGACTTCTGTTTGGATGCAACACGTATGGAAGGTTCGCCCGAAATGGCCCACTTGCCCGGCCACTCACACTATTTGTTATAATTACATCCAATAGTATGAGTTGCTAAACGTGTCTGGACACTATTTAGTGCTAGAGCAACCGTGCTGGGCTGCAGGAATTACTATGATTCCGTCCAATCAGCTTCGGGCGTCCCACTGGCAGTGGCACCATCGCGATTCAAGCTCCATTTCATCGCACATACAAAATTCAAGTGTACCTTTTGACTCCAAAAGGCATGACTTGCAATTTGTATACCCACCCACCTTGGGCAGCTCTTTTTGGCAATCAGCCAATGCCTATTCTCGAAATATCGAGCAGCCAATGCCTGGTCTCCTTTGACGCAGATCAATCGATGACGCGCAAGCAATATGCATGGTGCTGCCTTCGTCAAAGACATCACTAGCATAAGATAATATCGAATGGCTTGGGGACCAAGTGATAATATCGGGACCAATTGATAATATATCGCCAAAATGGGGACCAAGTGAAAAATACTCCAATAATAACAACGTATCAAGTGCGCGGGACGAGGTAGTGCTCACAGATCATTTCTCATTTTGACTTTGTTTGCACAGTCACTTGGAACAACGCGATGGGTCTTTCCGCGCACCTCGAAATTACACCAAGCATGGCGGCTTGCCTCGACATGTGGCTCCAGGACGAAGCATTTGGCACCTCCAACAAGACTACGGTCATCTGCACGCTCCACGATGCTGCGCGAACGATCGAGAAGCAGCTCGATGCTGTGGCGGATTGCAGTAATGATGGAACTGCTCTCGTGGACTTGCTCCTGCTTGCGTTGCGCATCGACGCCAATTTCAACTCGGCAACGGTCGTCGCATGCTTTCGCGACCTCCGGACGCTTCGCGCCTTTCGCCGCCTCGACATGGACAACGATATGAAGGCCATGGCGCAACTCGACGACATCCTTCGGCAAGGAATCCCGGACGACGTGCGCCGCTCGACGATTGAAGCGCCGGTTCGATCATCGTTGGCCCGCGCTACCACGTATTTGGCCCTTCTGACGTCTCTGGACGATCCAAAGCATTGGACGACGCCAAGCATTGATGCGCCCGACGTGCCCATCGCCATCGTAATTGTTCAGTACGCGTTCAACGACGCAAAGCAGCCTGACGCGACTCGAATGACCACAGTGCTCGGTGACCTTTTGGTCAAGAACCTCGCGCCCGCAGAGAGCCCGCTGCAGGCAAAGCTATGGGCCGTTGCAAAGAAGCACGGATGCAACCATCGCGGTTTCCCTTTCGAGCTCACGTCAACCAAAGTACAGTCGCTCATCATTGCGATGAAGAAGGAGCTCCAGCCAGACGCGAAAGCGATCAGCAGCGAGGTGTCGCTGGCGCCTGTCAATGCAAGCCCGCTGGCGGGTCATGAATTGATTCCTACCGATGGGCGCCCGATGAGTTTTCTTCGCACCGTGAGTCCGGCCCCAAGCAAGGACTCTCATTTCGGTGATCTCGTTTTGCACGTCCTCAAGCACGGCCTGAGCTTCAAGGATGAGCTTTACACTAAAAAAGACCAGGCATCAAGTAGCACCACGTCACCCGTCGTGTACGACGCGCTCTTGAGCTCGATGGCCTCGTTGACACCCGCCGCTCGGGCAGAAGTCATCCGTCACTTGGTCGACCGATGCTGCCTCGCGCCGCTCGTAGTACCCATGAACGACGCGGGTTTCGACATGTTTACGGCTGAGTTTGGTCTCGTCGAGACTTCAGTCAACGGCAAGCTGGCATCACTCATCCGGGACACGTCCTGCACGCGCGTGGCCGTCGTTTCGGAGCGGCCAACGAAAAACAGCACCACAAGCGACTGGATCAAGAACATCTTTCATGCCGAATCGCTGCACTGCTGTGACCGTCTGCTTACCAAGACCGTGACGAAACGTCCGTGCGTCGCAGAGCTCGGCTGGGGCTTTGTCGTCGAAGGAAACGAGATGACGCCAGTCATGGTGCTGCACATCATTGGCGACTACATGCTCTTGGAGTCGTTCATTACGCAGTTTGCCGACATCTTGATTGTCGACGCGGGGTACAAGCCGGTGCGAACGACGCTGCCTCATGGCCTCGTTATCCAGTGGCGCGCCCCCAAGCAATCCGAAAACGACGAAAGCGACGAGGACGCCAAGACGGACGAGACCTCCGACAGCAATGGAGCTGTCACCGCCGTCGCGTTGATATGTGATATGGGATCGTCGCGCGAAGAAATTGCACAAAGAATTGTCAACGTCTTGCCTTCCAAGCCGCGCGTGCCTGTCGAGTGCCTGCGCGTACCCGACATTGTCAAGCCCACCACGCGTTTTTCGAGCCAGATCGTCACCGCCGTGGCCAAGACGAACTTTGCCACGCTTCGCAGCAAGGATCTCAAACTGCAAATGGCCTTCAAGAACGAGTCCTCTCACTCGCTGCACTTTCAGCGCCAACAGAGCGAGCGGGAGCGCAAAAATATTCAAATCGACATTGATATGCTCCAGCAAGCTTGTCGGGACAATGCCGAGTGCGTCCTTCAGTATCCGCTCTTCCAGATCTTTGTCGCCATGCTCAAGCTGCCGTCGGCTGCGAGCCGCGAAATGTGCATTCTTGACTTTGAGCGCCAAATCGCCACGGCCAGCGCCGTTATCTCGGACGTGGCACACACAAAGTACATTTCTGCGGTTGCTGCTGCATCCCAAAGTGGTGACGCTTCGGCGACTCAATCGTCCCTCAAAGAATGGGACAACGCGGTCACGGGGATGGAGCACTTGTGGCGCGAGCTCTCCCTCGTGTACCGATCGGACCCGACCAAGTACAGCGACTTGCCGGACCTCGCCGTGACGCACCTCCTCGACGGATTCCCGCTCGAGTACATGAACGGCGATGCTGGCATGGTCAACAAAACGTGGGTTCGCGCCATCTTGCGGCAGCTTGGCAAGAAGCTGGGCGACGATGCGCGCATCTTTGTACTCTCGGTCGCGGGTGTTCAATCGTCGGGCAAGTCGACGTTGCTCAACGCCATGTTTGGCATCCGCCTCAAGACATCCGTCGCTCGTTGCACACGTGGCGTGACGATGCAGCTGCTTCCTTGCGACAGCGGCAACGCCTACGACTATATTTTGCTGCTCGACACGGAAGGCATGCAGTCGCCGGAACGAGTCGGGATGAAGGATTCAGTCTGGCGGGACAACCGCATGGCGTCCGTGGCCATTTTGCCCGCCGATGCAACGATTCTCTTGATGAAAGGCGAGTCGACGAACGTGATTGATAACGCGCTGCCGATTGTGCTCTCGGTGTTTGGCAACTCGTCCCTCGCTGCGGCATCGGAAGGTCGGCTTCAGACCAAGCTCTACTTTGTACTCAACCAAATCAACGCGGTCAGCTCAAACAGTCTGGTGACATGCGTCTCGACGCTAACAGACAACCTCCGAAAGAACGCTGCCAAGATCGGTCTGGTGTGCCAATCGAAAGAGCCCGCGTTTTCAGAGTTCCTCGCTGACTTTCGCGGCTTCAATTGCGACGAAGACAAGCGCGACGTGCGAGTTCTCGGCTACACGCGGATGCTGCCGTTAAACGTACCTAAAGCGGAGTACGGTATTGGAGCGCTCAAGATGCGCGACCACATGCACAACCGAGCAACGGAGTCCGATGCATGGCGCGCCCGCACCGTTCCACAGCTTAGCGCGAGCTTCGACTTGGTCCAGATGTGCCTCGAAGGTGCCGACTTTGACTTGAACTTTGCGTCTGCCCTCGAACGCATCCAGTACGCCGCTTTCGTAAAGCTCATGACGCAGTACAAGCAAGATCTTGCGCTCATCCACACCAAGGCTTTCGATGTGTGGCTTTGCCACGTGAGCAATGCATACGTTGGCGATGACGATGCAATGACTCGCAAGTTGGAGGACGCCGAGAAGAAACGCAAGGACAACATTAACGCCGAAGTCAGTGCTCTCGAAAAGACGGTGCAAGAAACGCTAAAGCACAACGACTACGAAACATGGTCTCTGGCGGCAACAAATGATTGGAAGAAGACGCTCCAAGACCAAGCGGACCACTCGCAGCGCAAAGTCAAGGCCACTCGCGTGTTTCAAGTCGGCAAGGACGTCAAAAAGTTCGAAGCAATGTTTCTCGAACGCGTGGCTGCGTACGTTGAGAGGGTCGGGGGCACCGCCACGATGGATCACGTCAAAAATATCTTCAACGACGTCCTCGCCGAAGCCCGCAAGCTCGACATGCCCTTGGCGCTAAGTGTGAAAGCGAAGGTTCACAAGGTCATCCACGAGCACGGTCTCTTTTCGCCCGATCTACTGACGCCGCAGGACGCCGAAGTCGCCTTGGAGAGCACTGCGGCGAAAACCTCTACAGCCCAGGTGATGTGGTCGTCGATATTTGCCAAGCACACTCAAAGCTATATCAAGAGCACGGTGCAGGGCTGCGTGCGTTGCCATCTTGGCATATTCAGCGATTACGACGATAGCGCCGTGCGTCTGTGTGCCGAGAAGGTCAGAGATGAGTTTATCAAGCACAAGTTCACGAAGCCCGAGCAGAAGCGCGGCATTGCGGTGCTCATAACGACGCTTGGCAACGAATTGACGCAGCGCCAGGCCGTGTGGGACGCCAACAATAGCGTCGCTGACCTGTTCGTCGCACAGAAGAACAACTTGATGTCGGTGGCCGGTAGTATCTGTCGCGGCCGCCAGGCCGTTGACTTGCTCGTGGAGGTGCTCAGCACATGGCTCACGACGAGTTTATCCAAGGCACTCCACGAAGAGCTCGAGAGCGCCATAGCCGCCGAGCTTCAGTTCGCGCCGTGGGTCGAATCTCCCGAAGCGATGCAAGCAGCGCTTGACCACGATATTTCGTTGCGTCTGGAGGCCTTGGGTGTGACCTCGGTCCTTCCTTTAATTCGAGACCCCAAGGCGCATGCTGCCGACGTCATTGCCAAGCTGGTTCTCGCCAAGGTTGAAGCGCGCTACGAGAGCGTGCGTGGCAAGCTCATCCAAAACGTGAGTTCGAGCATCGATCACGCCGCGTCCGTGGCTGGGAAGACCGCGTCGAACCGCAGCAAGTCGTTTGGCGAAGCACTTCAGCGTGAGCTTCAGCGCCATCTCAAGCTCAGCGGCGCAAGCGCTTTCATCCAGAGTCTGCCGCCGCTCACGAACGGCGTCATGAACTGCGACGCGCAAGGCCCGTCCATCTTTGACGACACAAGCAGCCGTATGCCAACCAACGTGCCCCGGCGCCTGCATGAAACATTGGTCGCACTCACGCCGACGCTTGCTGCATCGGTGGCCAAAAACACATCTGTGGCAAAGGCCATCGCCGAAGCTCTCCAGACGGAATCTTATTGCGCCAACTATGGCATTGCGCCACGCTGCGGTGAGCCGTGTCCAAAGTGCAGATGTCCTTGCACAAAAGAACAGGGCCATGCCTCCAAGGACGGCTCGCGCCACGACACGTACCACCAACCAAGCGGCCTCCAAGGTGCTACTATTTCCACGTGGTACTTTTGGAAAACCTGGTTGCCGTGGTGGACCAAAGCGAACGAGCTCTGTCCCCACAGCTGTGTATCGGCCGTCGCCAACAACGACATCATGGAGCTCGAAAGCGGCAAAACGAAAGCGTTCAAGGACTTTGAGAAGGTGTTTCCATACTGGTCCTTGCCGCACGGCGCGGCCACGTCTCTTCCGCTGCGCGAACACATCTTTGCGCACTACCAGACTGAGCTTTCTCAGTACTTTGAAGTGGATAAGTGCATCGACATACCCGCCTCGTACTTTGCCCACGACATCAAAGACATCCAGCAACAGCTCGAGCGCATGCTATGCTAATTTTATATCAACACAATACATGCAATACTCGTCGAACGTGTTTATCAGGCGACACAGTCGTCAAACCAACTGCATCTTCCTGTCATGACTCTGACAATCTTCATCATAGCCCCTTCGGAGAACAATGCACACGTTGCGGATCCCACTCTTCTCGGAAGGGACTAAGCCAATGTAAGTGAAAACACCTCGTTGCTGCGCGTCTCGTGGGCATCTTGGCCGCCAAAGAGCAAGACGGTCTTGGCGCCTTCGTTTGCGAGCACAGCGCAGTGTCCAACACGTTGCATGCCGTCAGAGGAGTCCATCGTCACTGGCTTCCACTCCCACGTCTCCGTGTTGAGCGCAAATACGTCACCAAAGAGGGTCGTTTTCTGGGCGCCGACCTGCGGGTCCCAGCCACCATAGACAAGGATCGTCGACGCATCGAGGGCGACCGCGATCTGGCCCGTCCGGGGCGCGGGACCGACACCGACCGTGCACGGGTGGAACCAAAACCACGCATTGTCCGCGGGCCGACGTTCGAGCACGTGTACCGAGTCGAAGCTGCGCTTGGTGTCGTTGCCGCCAAAGAGGACCATGCGGTGGTCGCCGATCGCAACCGCCGAGTGGTAGTTGCGGGCTGCGGGCGCCCGGCCGTCGACTCGAATGTTGCGCCACGTCCATGTCGCTACTCAATTATAATGGCATTCAAATTGAGTTTCAGGCGTCTCAATCGCGTACCCGTCTCGAGTACGTGGACCGAGTTCATGCTGCTGCGACCACGGTTGCCGCCAAAGACGACTATGTCCGAGCCGAGCCGGCACATGCTGTGACCGCTTCGCGCGACGGGTACCGGCCCCGCGACGACTGGGGGGTACCACAGAAAGGCCTCTACGACTCACGTTGAAGCCACCAACCGACTGGACCACACGCATCCTACCCGTATCAAGCACCATCGGGTCGGCGAGCGTCTCCATCGCGTCATTCACAAGGCGCTCGCCGCCAAACACAACGAGCAGCTTGTTCGTCGGCAGGTACACAGCGCCGTGCCACGTCCGCGGCAGGCTTTCGCAGTTGGCCGGACGGCTCCACGCATTCGTCGCAATGTCAAACACGTGGATATCCGCAAGCGTCGTCTCGTCTTCGCTCTCGCCGCCGTAGAGCACAATGCGGTCCTTCGAGATGCGCGTCGCGGTCGCGCCCCAGCGCTGGCTCGGCGGGGTGCCGGAGGTTGGCACTAGGGCGTAGCTGCCGGTAAAGTGCTCGAGACCGTGACTCGGCGCAGGTAGCGCGTCGACATCGACGGGGGACGTGGGCACAATGGTGGGTGCCGCCGCCTTGGCTTCGTCGTCCTCGGTCGCTGCGACCACCGTTGCCTCGGGCGCCTCGTCCACCTCGGTTGTCTCGTCCAACGCCACCTCGTCGGAAGGCGAAGAAGCCTCTACCGCCTTGGCAGCGTCGACCTTGTCGTCCTTCTTCGGTGAGAAAAATGACTTGACGTCCGCAGTCTTCTTGACGGCGTCTTTCTTGGTCGGTCGACCGCGCTTCCCCTTGGCCTTGGCCGGCGGCGACATGAACTCTTTGGCCACATCCGCCGGCTCCGACTTTGCCGGCAATGGCTGCAACGGCGAGCGCGCCTTTTCGGAGGACTCGCTGGTATCGCTGCGACTGCTACTCGAGGCCGCCTGCTCGCAGGAATGTGCATAAGTTGCGAAAGTGTTGGATCCATCTACCTTGGCAGGTGACGTCTTTTGGCGCTTGGCCGGGTCTTCATAAATAACGATCGGCGACGGCGCCTCGGCCACACGCTTCTTGGACTCAGTGGGCTTGGGTGGCGGCTTGGAGAGCGCGAAGCGACCAGTGAAGTTGGTGCACTCGATCGCGAGGCTGCCATTCTCAAAGAAGAAGCGCAGCCCGTCGATGGCCGGAATGTCGACGTCAATACCTGCATATACAAGAGCATGAGAGTCATATTGGCCATGATCATGAGCGTCGTCTTGGCCATGATCATGCTTCGTAGGTAGAGAGACGTACCTTCAAAGGACAGAAGGGTCATCGAACGTGTGACTTTGCCGAAATGACCGCCCGGCCATTTCCCGCGAAGCCCTATTGAGTACGCAAGGCGCACCTTACAGGTGGCTGACGACACCACTCTTTACGCGTTCTTTCTCCTACTCAGTGACGCCAAAGTTTTTTCTGCGTGCTGCAAGCGCCTTTCATCGATACAAAAGTAGGTTTTATAGAGAGCATATGCCCATCGCTCGCTCGTCGGCAACACAGTAGACGACGTACGCAGCCTGCCCGGGAGGAATGGCGTGTATCTAGACACTCATTTAAGTACGGTGTCCAGCGTGGGGCTAAAAATAGGGCCTCACGACACGCACTTTGATGGGTCGTAGCCGTCTGGATAACGGTCCGGATACGGAAGATCGGAGTGCTGGGAACCCATTGGCTAAAATCCGGACGTCGCGAGGGCAGTTGCAATCTTCGGCGGAAGCATGTCCCGGCGCCACCTGGAGCCGCGCTCGGGTACATGATGCGCATGGACCCATGACAATGCTGATGGCTTACGTAGATGACGAGGATGCTTGGGAGAACGACTTCAACTTTGATGGGCTCGCAGCGCGTGGGGCGACAGAGCTGCCAACGTCGCCGACGCTGGGCCAAGCCGTCGAGCGCCTGGCCTTGAACTACCGCCTTGTCGACGTGCTTGGTCGCGCGTGCAGCGGCCTCAATGGTGCGATGCAGCAACCATTCTCATGGCGCTCATGGCGACGCGTAGATCAACTGGACAGCGAGCTCCACTTGCATGGCGAAGGCGCCGCCTCGGTGCCTGCGACGAGCATGGTAGAGCTACCGACGACTAGAGCTATACTGACCCCACGCAGGAGCGTGCATCAAGCTTTCTTATCGACTGCTGCTTGATGGTCTTCCGCAACGAAGCGTCGGCAGTCGCTGCAACGCTCGAGACGGCTCGTGCCATCCTCACGACGTCGAGTCCGTGCAAGTCGGGAGGTCTCAGCGACTGCGCAACACAGCTGCGTCGCAACATTCTTCTTCTGTGGCTGCAGGTTGAAACCTTTGCTGTCGCACCCGTGACGCAAAAGCCCATTCTTCTCGAGTTGCTCGCCCGTGACATGGGTCGAGCCATGGGCCAACTGCAGCCAGCAACCATGGGCAGTACGAGCACCCGCAGCCCGCTCTTTGCTCTTGCACACCTTGTCTTGAGTGAGATGCACGACGTTGTCGCCCCGATCCTCGGCGCGGGCCACGCCAAGCCGTCGCAACTCGTCGAGCTCACGTCCGTTTTGCGAATCTCGGTGCTGCTCCTCATGTTTCTTGGCGTGCAGCACCGCACGCCAGACTCCGCACCGTCATTGTCCTGGCAGACGTTGACCAAGATGGCGCTGTGCATGGGTCACTTGCTGCTGCTCTCTTGCGAGCTCTCGCTGGTGACGGACTTTGCGTGCGTGTGCAGCAAAGCTGCAGCCTACGTCATCGACGACCCCAGCCTCTTATCGCAGGCCAAGCTCGTGCTCTGCCAAGCCCAGCTCGAGCAAAAGCGCCTCATGGACGAAGACGAGGACTGGGCGGATTTCACGCCACACGATCGATCGCAGCGGCTCTTCTCCCTCGAGTGGACGCCCACCAACAAGCCCAAGCAAATGGCAGAGAACGACGACGAGGAGGAGGAAGATTGGGATAAGGAGCTCGCGCAAGACGAGGGGCAGAGCGGTGCGACAAGCTCGCTCTCGACGGTTCTCAACATGCGGGACCTCTTTATCGACGCGTCGTCGACATTGCCGCCGTCCGAAGCAAGCCGCCCTCGATGGCTCACGCAGCGCATCGACGAGTGTCCGACCGCGTCGCCACAACCACCACCGCCACCACCACCGTCGCCGTACTCGAAATCGTTTGCGGCGTTTGAGACAGGCCAGCTCCTCAGCCAGATTTGCCCGTCCGCTCGCTCGATCGAAGCGTGGCTCACAAGCCTCGACGTGCACCCGCCTCGTTTCGTCCACGATGCCGAGACCGAAGTGCTCGCGCTCACCGACCTCCCCGTCTACGAACGCTTGTGGTGCGAGGGCTACGTCCATTGCTGTAATGTGCTTCAAGCCAGCGCGCCAGACGTGTGCCTCGGCCTCGCCACCGCTTTTTTCCAGATGCTGGCAACCACACGTGTGCCCACCACGCTTTGCAAAGGCGTTGTTGCGGCGGGAAAGCACATACTGGCCACTCTTGCGCTCGTCTTGCATCCACTGGGACTGTCCGCGACCGTCTTGGACGCGCCTGTGGCGCAGCTGAAAGCGCTAGGTACGGCGCCGGACGATGTCGCCATGCTGGAGCTTGAGTGCGCACTGCATCTTGCGCTATGCACGTGTGCCGAGGACTTTGCCGACTCGGTGGACCAGCTAGCCTTGCTCGACCGAGCGCATACGCTCTTGCAGCGTGCCCACGCATCACTTGTGGCGGAGCGCGAGATCTTGTGCCATGGGTGTCCTGCTTCGATCGCTGCCATGGAGCGTAGCATGACGCTGCACTTGCTTGTGCACTGCGTTGCTTTCGGGCTCTCGCCGCTCACGCTTCAACACGTGACCAAGGGGGCGTCGCTGGACGTTGCCAACGACCTGGTGGAGGCCGAGACCGCAGCGCTCTCAACCTCCCCCAACATATTTGCCCATGTGCTCAAGCACACGGCGCATCCGTCGCAAAGCGCCGTCTACGCCCGGCTCGTTCACCTCTTTGGCTATTTACCGCTGCAGTCAAGTGTCCGTATCCAGGCCGGGATGGTCCTTGGGACGACGATGCTCGCGCTCCAGTGCCTTCAAGATGCTGAAAATGTCTTGTACGAATCGGTCTACCTCTCGGTCTCGGCCAAGACGACGCGAATTCGGTCTCCTAGCGTGCCGTATATGCTCTGCGCCTTTGGCGACGCGCTCGTGTCCAACCGCAAGTACCGGTTTGGGATTGTCGCGTATGAAGCGGCTTTGCGGGCGGGCGACGCTGCATTTTGCACCGACCTCGAGCGTAAACTAGCGATTCTCTGCAGTGACAATGGCGACATTGATCGCAGTCTCGTTCTCTACGCTCGGATTCGCCATACCAGCCGCGACCAGCGACGTATCTTTGAGTACGTTTACGTTGCAGTGACGATGGCCACTATGCACATGGAGCGCGGTGCATTTGCGAGCGCGGCCTCCGACATGCAGCACGTACTCACGTTCATGAAGAACGAAGTGTTTACACAGGACGTGCGCATGGAGCTTCATGTGCTGCGCGTTCGCCTTGCCATTTGTCTCTTGCACTTGCAAGAGCCCCAAAATGCCATCGTCATGCTCTTGCGCTGCCGCGACGAGCTCCTTCAGAGCTCCAGTCATGTGTGTGCGTCATCGGTCAAGCTCGTGGTGGTGCTTGGCTGGCTTGCGACCGCCTACTTGCGGGATGGCGCCCTCGCAGCGTGCGATGAAACCCTGCTCTCGATTGCGCGGCTCCGTGAGACGACGAGTTGCCGGTACAACTGCCTCGCGTCAGCCGCGCGACGCAAGCACGTTAGCCACGGCTCGTTTGCCAAAGTGCCGAGCTGCCTCAACATGACCGTGTCGCTGCATGAACACCCGGGCGCCGACTTGTACTCGCTTCAGATGCAGCTCTCGCTGGCACGCTGCGAGTTGGAGAAAGCTGCGCACTACTCAGCGCTCGCAATCATCACGCTCGAGCTCGACCCGCATGCAGAGATGCACGAGCTCGCCGCGCTCTACTACTTACGCGGCAAGGCGCTCGACGCATGCTTGCACCACCCGGGCCTCTTTCCGATGAAGCTCCAAGGACTGGAGTGTGAACAACTCATTCTCGCCAACAAGCCCAAACTGTCGCACCACCGCCGCAAGAGCTCGACGCTGCTCCGCGAACGCGTCCTCGTCACGTCCGATGAATGTACCCCGTTAGCTCATATGATACATAGGATCTTTATAATGGGTGGCGTAGGTCTCTACCACGCGGTGCGATCGCTGCACCATAGCTTTGAGCTCTACAAGAGTACCGGTGACAAGCCAGGCATGGTCCGTGCAGCGAATCGACTCGCGGCCATGTACTTCGACAAGGTGTTTGTGTCCGTGCTGGTGCGCAACCAGTCGCTTGTAGACGTTGCAGTGCTGCGGCTCAAACGGCGGCATGCGTCGTCGCATCTGAATCTCAACGACGAGTGCGTTGAGTTTGCCTTTACACTGGACGACATGCGTGGCCCCGCGACGCTCGGCTTTGATTTGAGCCTTGATGCGATGGCGCCCGAGCCGTACATGGAGGCGTGTGTCAATATGGCGACGCTTTGCGCGCTCCGCAACGACTGGCCCGAGATGCTGCGCTACTGGTACGAGGCCCGGGACGTCTTTTACCACTGCGGGTTTGGCACTGGCAAGCGCCACCGCCGCTTTCGTCACCGCCTCGTGCAGCTGCTCTTGTGTTGTGAGCCTGCGCTCGTCGCGGCCAACAGCGTGCTCCTGGATGTAGCTGCGTCCGACGACGTCCCATTGTGGTTTTGGCGCAAAACCCAGCACAAAAATGCGACGCTCCCCGCCGAGACGAGCTTGAGCTACCACTACAAACGGCTGCGCGAGACGCGGCCAAGCCATCAACGCACGCAGTCGGAGTCGCTCGAGCACGTGCCACCAACGGTGCATGGCAAGCGGTCCGGCTACCACCGTTCGTTCCCACCGCGCATCCGCGACAAAGGCCGAGCCAAACCCCGAGGCCTCAAGGTACAGTGTCCACATCACTTTGGATGGACCCTAACCGCAAATAGGACATCTTTGAACATGCAACAGAGGCGCCGAACGGTGGCGCCGAGGAGCCTCCGCTGGTCACGCGCCAACGTCTCCTACTGCGCGTGGCCCACAGTGCGGGGCGAGGCGCCGAGGGTAGCGACCACTCTGTACAACAAGATCGTTTGCGCAAAGTCTGGGCGCTTGCTGAAGAGATGCGCGGCGGCGGGCTCTCGCAGTGGTGCGCAAGCCTTGTGCTCGATGCCGTGCCCGCCATCTACGTGCTCGGCGATCATGACGGCATTGCTACCTTCTCGACGGCAACAGTTAGCGGCGACTGGCGTATTTTAGAAGGCGACACGCTCACGCGGTACGCCCCCGTACTGCGCCACGGGTCACTTCTCGCGCAGCGGCAGTGCTTTGAGCAAGAAGCTAGCACGACGTCAATCGCCCTATGGCACCGACTTACCTCTGACGCACCGCCGTCGCTTCGCGAGCGACACGAGTGGCTGTGTAGCCACCAGTTGGACGCTGCTAAAGAAGACGACCTGCGTGGTCCGTCTCTTGTCCACAGCAAAGCGCCGGTGCCGTCCTCGAAGAAGGTATCGACGCAGACTAAGCTTATTGTTGCCCCGGTACTGGCTTCGCTGCCGTGGGAAGTTCTTCTGGAGGAAGCCCCCACGGACCCCACTCGTCTTGCGGTTGCACGTCTCATTCGGCCACTGGAAGCCCAGCCACAGTCGCTAGAGTGGTCGACCTCGCACCTGCTTTTGTTTGTCGTACACCCATCGACACAGAGTCTACTGGACGTTCCCAGGAAGATCCATGTTCTCGCATCTCGCGACGCTGCAAATGTGACCATCGACATGGCAGTCGCCAACGTGCGCCGGAAGAAGAAGCCGTCGCTGGCGTTGACGTCGTGCCCGATGAATATTGCAGTGGCAGCAATGGACGACTGGTCGACGAGTGCTGTCACTGCGCTGCGCCGGTCGCCGACGCTCTTTGCGCTGCTTTTGGTGCCCGCCAGTTTTGTACGGCCGCTGGCGTTGGCGCTTTGGGCGCGCCGGCCAAAGAAGCGCCGACTGTTTGGCACGCCGAGTCGCACCGTGGAGGCGCCGCGCGAGTGGCTCGACGATGTTGTCGGCGCCTTTGAGCGGACGACCTTTATACCCGTGAGTGTAGTGATTACAGGCGCTTGATCGCGCAGTTTAATAGGATTATATAGTACGGCCTACCCTCTATGAAAATGACACTATCTCAGCTCGACGACCGGGCGCTGGACGCCGTCGATGGCCGGAGCTCCTGGTCGTCCTTGTCAATGATCGCCGACGAGACAAACGACCGCATGGTCTCGAACCCGCTGGCGTCGCTCGCCGTGTCGTACGACTCGCTGCGCTTGGTCCGGACTTCGATCATCGGAATGGAGCTGCTTTGGTACAATCGCGAGGCCGACGACCCGCGGTGGATCGAGCTCTCGCTGCGAATCTGGTCCCGCGATGAGGGCGAGAGGCGGTCCCAGAACGAGTCGCGCGCGTTTGCGTCCGGCGGGACGTCCGTGTTGGGCTCGGTCGTCGACGCAATGCTCTGGTCGAGCGACATCGAGTCGTTGCTTTGGCGCGAGCTGGCCTTGAGAAGCCATGGCACAAACGTCGAGTTGTTATTTGGGTCGAGGGGCGACGCCACGTACGAGTGGCCGCCACCGCCGCGCGAGAGCGTCATCGGTAGCTCGAGCGTCTCGGACTTGAACGGGGACGCGCTGCGGTAGCGCAGGAAGAGGACGGCAGCGAGACCGCCCACAAGAACGAGTGCGCCGACGACGATGCCGACGATCGCGGCGTCGTCCATAGTAACGTTATCGAGGAGCAAAAAGGCAAGTGCGACCAAGCGCCATTACGCAGCCAAGATCGCGTATAAGTCCAGCAGGCACGTGGGACACGCCAGCCGTGACCAACATGTGCGTAGCTCCTGGCGTGATTCGAGCATGTCTGCGGCTACGAGTATCTTGGCGTCAAGAGCGCGCTGCCAATGGGAAGGACGACCCTGCCACAAGGAGCTGCAGACTACTTTATCTACCAGGCGTATTGACGCACGCAGCGGTCGTATGACTCACGCTACGTGGAGGACGCTCTGCTTGAAGCACCGTCGCGACAGCTTTCTCATACACACCTAATGCAACCTACTACGTGTCGACGACGACGCCAGCGCACCTTGTACGACAAGGACGCCGCCGAGTGGCGGAGGTTGGCCGAACGCACTTGCTTGGGACGTCACATTGTCCTCTGATTGGCGCCTTTGCGATCCAAGATCCGGTCCGATTGGCTGCAACCCTGCTCGCTGATTGGTGCGTGCGCTGATCGCCACCGTCCGAACCAAGGTGGCAGCGCCGCTGGCCTCCTCTACGTTGAGATTGAACCCTTTGCATTTGATTTTCATCGAAAACTTTGCGATGGCCGCACCATATTATACGTAAGAACTGTCAAGGCAACGTCACTGAAACGAAGCCAGTGACTCTTGTCCGTGGACGTGACGTTGGCTTCTTCAAGTGCATTTGTTGTTGGTCAACGAGTGGGGCTGCTTTTCGTGTCGACACGGTAGACACGTATATCGCGTTGCACGTTGTATATTCGTAGAAGTTAGCGAAGAAGACGCACGATGTCGTCCTCAATGTCCTCGAGGTTGTGGCTGTACGAGGCCGGAATCGTGGTGCACTTGAGCTTGTTGAATTGTTGCGAGAGCTCGGACTGGCATTGTGCAAAGACGTACTCGCGCAACGGCAGAAACTTGGTCACGCGCGGCAACGCCCACCCAGGGTACACGTCCTCAAACTCCTTGTACGGTCGGCTTCCGCTCGCGAAATACATGCCGATATCATCGACGACACACGTCGCACAGCTTCGGTACACAAGCTCGTGCGAGCGTAACGTATAAACACCAACTAGGCCTTCCGGTTGGTGGTACGTGTCGTGGAGGGCGTCGTGTTTCGTGGATGCATGGCCCATCGCCTTGGTGCATGGGCAACGGCAACGTGGGCACGGCGCCCCACAGCGTGGCATGATCCCGTCCACCGCGCCGTACGCTTCGTTCTGGATGACGTTCACGACCTTGTCGGCCATCGTCGAGCTCCATTGCGTCGAGGGGCCCAGATGAGCCGTAAGAGTGGCAAGATGCGTCAAAAGAGCATGCGTGACGTTGAGTCCGTCTTGGTTGGCCGGAAGCGCAAAAACCGAAGGCCCTTGATCGTCGCAGTTCATGACGTCGCCCGCGACGGCTGGTAAGCTCTCGATGAGCGCGCTCGTGCCACTGCACTTGAGGCGACACTGAAGCGTGAGGCGCAGCTGGTGGACAAAGCACTCGCTGCGTTTGCTGACGGCGCTGGCAGCAATGGCACTTGCGCTCACAAGGCTCTCTTCGACATCACGCAAGAGCTTCTTTGCCACGCCAAGGTAGCACTCCTTGACCTTGATCACGACGAGGCGGCTCATGACGTCCTCTGCGTGCTCTTTGGGGCGATCGATGAGGTCCAGCACCGTACGGACATCCTTCTGGCGCATATGCTGAAGAAGATCTTGGTCCAAGGCAGCTTGCATCGCGTCAGCGGCGCGCACCCAGCGAGCGTGCTTGAGCGCCGAGGCCACTGCGCTCACTACCTCTTCTTCAAACGCCTTGGTCAAGTTGAGGCCAAGCCACTCGTTCAGCGTCGTCGAGAGCAGCTGCGCAGCCTTCTGGCCCTCGCAGACACTGCACGCAAACCGGTGCAAGGTCGGCCGGTACGCCTCAAACTTGGCGACGACACTGTTGGCCTTGTCCCAACGTTCCTGGCGCTTTTGGAGCTCGTCTTTGAGCGTCGCGACAAGTGCTCGAAGGCCGGCCTTGAGCTCCGGCGGCTTCAACGACTTTGTCGAAAGCAGACGCTTGACATTCAGCGCACACGTAAGCGCAGCTTCATCCGAGTAGCGGTCAACCTCGGCAAGCAAACTGCGCACGCGATCGCACACCATGTCGACCACCTTGTCTTGACGCGACGGCTCGGATTGCTTATCTGAACTCGAGAAAATCATACGTTTGAGCGCAACCGCCCAGCCTTGCTTGTCGTTGTTGTCGTGGCTGAGGTGCGCGAGCTCGTCCGGCGTAAAGACATGGTTGTCGTAAATGACTGCATGCACGAGCTTGGGGACTTGGCTCGAAAGCGAGGGCATCTTCTTGGACGCGCGCGTCAAGACTTCATTGAAGATGGTGTCGAACGCCTGCATCGTCGCTTCGGGGCCAAAACGTGCGTTGTGATCGACGATAGTTGCTTGGATCTCTTCCTTGTACACCTTGGTGATGGCGTCGTACTCAAAGAGGTGCTGGACCTTGGACTGGACAAGGCGCGCCGAGTGCGCCGCTTGGCGCTGCTTCTTGACGACCCAACCCTCCAGCATCGTCGTTGCCCACTTGGCAAACGCATCTTGGTTCAGCGACGTCGCGACGACTGCCTCGAGCGTCGCCACGTGCGACTCCACGTGGTGCTCCAAAAGCGTCTCGTACTTGCGACGGTTGCTCGCGTCGAGCGTCTTCTCAGCCGCGCTGTCGGCGCTCATCGTCTGCAGCACATTGTCAAAGGCGTCGCTGTAAATCTTGGCGAGCTCTTGCGTGTGCTCTGTCATCATCTGCACAAGCCGATCGTACACGACGCGCTCGTGCGCCGACGCAAAGTCGAGCTCAAAATTGGCGCTTTGGAGACACGTCCAGACAAGGTCCAAGCTCTCGCTGAGCTCGGAAATCGTGCGTGCCTGCCACTGGCTTTCAATGGCGCGGGTGTGCATGTGGTCGCGGAACCGAACGAGGCGCTCGCCAAAGTCGGGCAGCGGCACGTCGTTTGGCGGCGTCGTTTGGCCTTGCGTCATGCCGAGGAATCGGACGTCGCTGCCTGCCTCGTCGTTCATGTCGGCGCGAAAGTCGCGCAAAAAAGTGGCCGTCTCGGTCTGCCGCACGGCCGCAATCTGCTTGGCGCTGCTGCGAAGACTGTCGAGGAGCGCCCGGAGACTCGACGCCATGTTGCTCGTCTGCGACACGTCAATCTGGTTGAACGCAAAGTAGAGCTTGGACATAAGATGACCGCCCGAAGCCGCCGCCAGCTCCGAGTTGGCAAACACCGAGAGCACGATCGGCAGCACGTCGTTAATCGTGTTGGTCGCTTCGCCTTTCGTCAAGATGATGGTCGCGTCCGCCGGCAAGATGGCCACCGACGCCATGCGGTTGTCGCGCCAGACCGTGCCTTCCACACCAACGTACTCGGGCGACTGGATGCCTTCCGTGTCGAGGAGCAAGACGTAGTCATAGTCGTCGCAGTTGTTGCAAGCGAGCAGCTGGAGGTTCACACCGCGCGTGCACCGCGCAACGCTCGTCCGAAGGCGAACACCGAACATCGAGTTGAGCAGCGTCGACTTGCCCGAGGACTGGACGCCCATGACCGAGAGCACAAAGACGCGAGCGCCTGTCGGCAGCGTATCGTCCAGAGAGCGCAACACGGCGCGGATCCACTTGTCGTTGACCATGCCGGCGTCGCCGTCCATGAGCTCGAGCGGGAAGCCGTCGAGAAGATGCTGCACGGCGAGCTGCGGTAATATCGCGTACACTTCTTGGTTAGCCGTATAGATGTGCGAGAGCTCGCGCCAGAGATGCTCGAGGCCCGTGACCATGTTGCTCCACTTTTCGAGAGCCGACGCATACGCCGAGCGCGTCGCCTCGTTGTCGACTTCGCTGCAGGCGGCAAAGGCTTGGCCACACTCTGCCTGCGCCGTCGCGGCCACGGCGTTGCAGCACTCGGCGAGCCGACGTTCAAGGTCAATGACAAGCATCTCGCGCACTACCGCTGACGGATGCTCAAGAATCCGCTGAAAGTAGACGAGCAACAGAGCACGAGCGACGTTGCGAAAGAGCTTCTTGTGCTCAGCTTCGCTTCTCTGGATCTTCTGCCGCAGCACTTCTTGGCTAGGCGGGTTTGTCTCGCGCTGGAGTTCGATGCGCAGCGCCGACTCGTACGCAAAGCGCTGCTGGAGCTGCAGAACGTCCGTGCGGAGCGTCGCAAAGTCCGTCGCCGCCAAAATGTTCTCAGTGTGTTGCGGCAAGCGAGAGTCCGACTTTACGTCGTATGGCAGCGGCAGATTGTCGACGGTACATCGCGTCGGCGGCGTCTCGCCCTCGTCGTCCTCGAGGATGTACGCGGTGATGCGCTCGTACGAAGAGCTCATGGGACTCGCGAGCCCCACTGTCAGAACCTTGCCATCGTCGCCGAGAACTTGGTCGTCTTCGTCGTCTTCTGCGAGGCGCCAGTGCAACACCGTGCCTTGGGGCAGCGTCATCCGCGCTGGCGCAGCCCCCGTGTCGATCACCAACACGTCGGCAAACTGCCCAATGAACGACTCCAAGAGCGTGTAGTCGCCAATGACGTGCAGCACCATGACCGTAGTGTACACGGTGTTCTCTTCGACAAAGCCCCAGCCGAGCTCGGCAACGACCGGGAGGTTCGTGACGTTGTTGCCGTTGGTGCGGTCGAGACAGTGCACCGAGTCGACGTGAAAGACGTTCTTGATCCAGTCTTTGGTCGCGCTGCTTCTTGTTGCGCGCTCCGAGACGACTGCAACGCGCTTGACAGACGTCTCGCGCATGAGCGACGCCTTGCCTCGCAAGAGGAGCGTCTCGACGAGGCTCAATGCGCTCGCTTCCGACCGAAAGCCAAAGTCGCTCGACGGCACGAGAAACGGCACGAGGCAGCGCCGGTCAAGAAGGAGACGGTACACCTCGGCGCGCGCCGTCGGCGTCAGCGAGTCCACCAGCGTCAAGAGCGCGTCAAACACAGCGGGGCCTTGCGGTGCTTCGTCTCGCGCGGACGCGCGACGCGCGACACGCTTGCCCTTGGCACCCGAGGCAGAGCTGTAAAGCTCCTTGACGAGGCTCAGACGGTGCTTGAGCGTGTACCAAATGAGCCCGGGGAGGTCCGTCGTCTTGTCGGGCTTGGAGACGACCGTCAAGAGGTGGCTCATCGGGTGTTGACTCGTGTTTTGCCCATGATTACCAGCAACGGGTGCGTGTTGATCGGCGCTTGGTACAAGTGACGGATGCACGACCGCCTCATCGTCCGAGCTGTCGGCGGCCGCCTTTGCTCCGTTGTCAAGCGCTTCTAGCATCGCTTCGGCCATCATTTGTATGTGTTCTTGGTTGAGATTTGTCTCAAAGCCGCCCTCCCGACAGCCATACCGATGGGCGACGCCCCAAAGTGCTGCGAGCGTGGGAGTCGATGCTGCTGCGAGGCTGGCAAGGAGGAGCTCTCCGATGCGATGGGTGAGAAGCGACCAGTCGGGCATCGACGAGGCACGGAAGGCATTGAGGACAATTCTCACGGCGATGGGGACATCGCGCACGTCCAGATGCGGCACGTTCCACTCAAAAATGGATGTCGTCAACTTGCCCGCTATGGTTTCGAGTTGCGCCAGCTGCGCAGCACGTTTCAGCGCCCCAAGCAACGTCACGTCGAACGCAGTGGCCATCTGCATGAGCAGCACATCAAGGACGTGGTGGTACATGACGCCAAGCTCGACCATCGCCATAATATCGTTGCGCGCGACGAGCCGGCGCAAAGCGTCGTGCATGCGCTGGTCACGGAGGCAGTCGAGCGTCAGCGTCAAGGCAAAGGTCGAGTCCAAGCGAAGCGCGAGCAAGAAGATGTCCACCACCGCACTGGCTTCAACATTGGCTTGGGCTAAAGCGTCGAGCTGCGCGTTTGTCGTCCGGACAGCATCGTCGGCGCTGGCGATAGGCATGTGCTTGGCATCGGTGCCGAACGCAGGGTTGTGCAGCCACATGTCGACGTACACATCACGCACGGCGGCGACAACGTCCGCGCTTGCTTCACGCGTCGACTCGACAAGTTCCAGCCACGCTCGACGCACGAGTGGCGAGGCGCGCTCGAGACCAGCATGTGCAAGGAGGTCCCAGACACCGACCCGCTTCGCCGGGCGGTCAATGACGTGCCATGTCGAGCGATCAGCGACCAGCCATTGCTGGAAGATCGGATAGCTGGCCGCGTCGGGGCCCGTGCACTCGATGCGTGTCGTGATTTCACACGGCGTCTTGGCCGCGTCAAAGAGCGTGCTTTCGATCGTGTCGAGCCCACGCTGAAACGTGAAGTCGCTGTAGCTGATAGAGAGGTCGCGGGTCGCCGGATTCGGGCAAGCGGCCTTCATGGAATGAACGGCCGCTTCCGACGTCGCCTTGACATGCACAGTCTTCCACAAGATGCCACCGACGTGAAAGACGCCAACATGCACGTGCGACCCATAGTCGCACAGAAAGTCCATGGCGGCCTCGACGCTCGTCACATCTCTGGCGTCAGCAAGCGCTTTCTCCGAGAGCGCGATCGTGGTCACGTCCAAGCAAAACGACTTCATCGGGACGAACGCGTACGTCACATGCGCAACGGACGAGCAGCGCGGAGGAAGCGTGTCACCGAGATACGCCTTGGAGTCGACGACCGCTGTTCGGCCCGACTCGGCTATTGCCGCTCGAAAAGAGGTGACAGCGGTCACATCGTTAAACCATGCGTCTCGGATTTCCGTGCCGAGGACAGGTGCGTCCAGTTGGCATTTGGTTGGTGGCTGCAAGATCGCTGTCTCGACGCCCTTGGCGGGGCTTGCAAACCCAAAGCAATGACCGACAAGCGCCGACCCACTGCTCGCCCGGGCCACGACTTGGTCGTCCGTCAGCGCGGGGGGCATGTTCGACAGCGCGAAGCTCGTCTGCGTGAGCATCTTGTCGAGGATGCGGAGGCGTGTGAGCAGCGTCGTCGCATCGCCGAGCTTCTTCGCGTCCACGATCCATTGCACGAGACCCATGGCCTTGACCGGCGCGTTGAAGCGGGAAGCCGCGAGGGCGATCTCGTCCTGGTCGTCGGCGCGGATAGCAGCCTGGAGGTGGGAGGAAGCGTCGACCGCGTCCCCCAAGGTCTCCTTGAGGCCGACGTCTACCTTGGGCGGGGTCGTCATCTCGTCGTACCCTGTCCTGCTGGAGGGAAGTATCGGAAATGAGGAGCAAATACAAACTTCAAGCTCTTCTGCCCTTTGACTTCGAACTACGGAATGGCCATGCTGTCAACTTCGAAATTCGAGTTCAGGCCAGTCAAGATCGGCCTGTCAATGACGACGGGCCGAGTCGCAAACAAGCTGTGCACGAAAATACATCCGCAAGCGCAGACATGCAGTAGTACACGCTGTGGTGCGGCAACATGCTTCTCTTCCTTCGACGTGTGTCCCTGGGAAGGTTGGCCATCTTGAACCTCCTACCTGTACTGTTTGACTTGACATTTAGTATCAAGTCGAGCAACAAGCGAGGCTGTGGCTGATCAGCTTGCCCAATCGTGTTGCTGGTAGCATCATGGGCAGACTGTTGATCGATCAACTTGGTCGCCATGGATTTGTTATTTCAATACAACGCAGTGAGCCTTCTACAGCGTGGCCAGCGGTAACACCCGCATTACTCGTACAACTAGGGTTAACCTCGTGTTTTCTTGGGGCAGGTTTTGGTCGAGCTCTTTGGTTGAGGTTTTGCATTGGGGTAGCGTGCAATCTAGCGTGTTCTACGTGTGACGTAGTTTGGACTCGGTGGACGGAATCATGTGCATTGAAGTTCAACGTACCCTGCCCCAAACCTCGGGTTTTCTTGGGACAGGGTGTGGTTGGGCTTTGTGGTTGAGGTGGGGCATAGGGTCGGTGGGCTATCTAGCGGTCTTTATGCGTAGCATACGCAGTGCTTTGATCCATGTCGAAGGTTTGTGCAGGTGTGCTGTCGCGCTTTTTGATTTCAGTTTGGTATCGGGGCTAGCGGTATGTCTGTGTCGTAGCTTGGACTGCGTGGATGCACTCCACCCTTACGGGCTCTTGTACTATGCACGTCCAACGCACCTTTCATAATGCAAACACGCATTCACATGGCTAATGTGTGATGGACCCGTGCGACGGACGCGACCTTCGGTTCGTTGCGGTGCCCAGCGGACCGCTACCGGCGTTCAGCCGGAAACTACACTGCGGTGCAACCTCCCGTGCTATCGCAGCAGGCCCCAACGATACCAAATGCACTCACTACGCTCGCGCATGGCATATGCCACTACTGTACCGCGCTTCGCGCAAAAAGTCGTCATTCAATTAAAATATAGAATCTTTGCCGTTCCAACTGCATTTTGATTGGCGCAGCATCGGAAATGATAATCTGTTTCGCGCCAAACTGCCGAGATGACCAAGAGCATACAAAAATTATATATCCCTGCCACGACCATTCCCAGCATCAACATGAACGCGCTGCCGCTTGGGCTTTTTTCCCGACCAAGACACCCCGCTCCAAATCGCCCAACGTCTTTTTGCCCAACTTGCTGCTCACTTAACATTGCTCGCTTGGTCAAGCACTCTGTTGAGGTACACTGCAACGTCCTGTCAAGGAGCAATATACTGAAGACCAGTTTCTGGAGCCCGTTGATCGCCCCTTTTCGTATTGACGCGCCTGGTCGTCATTCGAGAGTATTTTTGCTTTCTCCGTGTCCACTCCTCTCATGCTTGCAGAGAGAGGGTGTATGTCGAAGTTCGAAGAGGGCCTTATCGTAGTTCGAAGCCGAAGGTTGCGCGATTTGGTCGCATTCGCATATTTCCGAGTCGCAGGTAGAAGCAGGAAGACGACGCGCGCCTCCATGCTGGTAGACGCTGACCTCATGGAGACCTTGAAGGAGGCGATCCAGGCCTCCCGTGACCTTCAAGCCGCCATCCGCGTGGCCGACAAGGACATGATCCTCCTCGCGGCGTCCCGCTACAACGCGCCGGTCAAAGCTATGGGTCTCGCAGTGGATCGTCGGCGAGAGAAAGATTGGCAACCCCTCAACCTTGCTCGACCGCCTCGAAGTTCTCGATAACATCCTCCTACAGACGAGCGTGGCCATGTCCTCCATCGACACTGCGTCGACTGACGACCAGGTCGTAGCATGTGCCAGTGGTGGCGCAGCGCTCCTTGGCCATTGCTTTGGCTTTTCAGGGCCCGCGAGCATCGAGACGGCAGTCTTGCAGCCGCCGACCACGTGCAAGCTTCAAGCGCCAACGTGCAGCACCGATATCACTCACGCCTGGTTCGAGAACGCGTTTGAGGCAGCAAATTTCCGCAAGGCGATGGCGGCCCACGGTCGGACGGCGGTCTCTGGCGCGCGAGAGCAGTCGTTGCCCGCGTCGAGCGCATCGATCGCGTGCTCGTCGTACGCATACGTGCCGATGAAGTCATTTTGCTTGGACGCGCCAGCGATGGCGCTCGCAGAGAAGGCGCTCGCGGATGCCAGTGACTTGACGACCGTTGAAGCGGCCAAGTGCTTTCTCTGCGACTATGGCTCACATGTGTTTTGCGGTGTCTTCCACGTCGGCGGCGTTTTTTGGAAGACAGTCGAGGTCGAAGCGCGGGCCGATGTGGCGATCGGTACGCTGGCCAGCGCTTTCCCCGACCCAACGGCGCGCGACCTCTCGATCAATTACAGCAGCTTTGCGTATGGCTCGGGCATTGACACGCGCCAAACCTCGCTGCTGGACGACAAGAAGACGTCGTGCGAGATCACGACGCGCATCGAGTGCGATGGCCCCGACGCGGCCAGCTACGCGACCTTCCAGCAGCGTCTGCTCGCGGATAGCTCGACATGGCGCGTGATTGACCGCCCGACCGCGCGCGTCGGTGTCTGGGATCTGCTTGACGCTGCGGGTTTCGAGACCGCGGCCAACCTCGTGCGGAACGCGTGGCTGGAGCTTGTCGCCTCCAGTCGGGTGTTGGCGCCGGACGTTGCGGCCGCCGTGCGCAATGTCTACGTCGATATGTGGCAGCGCAACCCTACGTTTGGGAGCGACGCCAAGAACCAAAACGTCGCCAGCGCCGACGAAGCGACCGTCGCGGTCCAGCAGCAGCTGTGTGTGGTTGCGCAGGCCAATGTCGACGGCCGGGCTCTTGTCGACGTGGTCTTGCTTGCACTGCGCTTCGGCGCGGCCTTTGGCTTGACTCTGGCAGCCGACTGTTTCCGTGACGAGAGACTCGTCGTCGCCTTGCGCCGTCTCGTTGCAACAAATGACACCGCGGCGATGCTGCAGCTCGGTGCCATGTACCAGCACGTCCTTGGCGCCCTGGTTTCGCAAGAAGGCCTCCACTTGGACCCGATAGTGCAGGAGGCTCTGCAGCGTGCGGCGCAGCTCGCAGCACTCGAGCACGAGGCAAGCAAGCTCACGGATACCGTGTATCCATGGGACGTGCCGCGTCTCGACGGTCCGCGACCTGCCATGGGCCATCCAGATCATTCTCGCTGCATTTCAGGCCACGCCATTGCTCCATTATGGGCTTTTGACGACGCGCATCAGTGACCTTCTCATCGCCAACCTCTCGGAAGCACAAGGCTGCTCGGCTGAGCTTTGGGCCATCGCACAACGGTTCGACTGCCACGATGACGGCTTCACCACCAATCTCAACCCCGAGCATGTGCAGATGATGGCTGATACAATGTTGGCAGCGTTGAATCGCGATGCAGCAGCGGCAACCGAGAGCTCGGACGACGAAGCCCCGATGCCACCCGCCATGTTTGCTCCCATGATAGACGAGCGCACTTCCGCAGCCGAGGAGCAACATCTGTCAAGTGCGCGTCAACACCCGATGAGCCACCTCTTGACGGTCGTCTCCAAGCCCGCCAAGACGACGGACCTCCCCGGGCTCATTTGGTACACGCTCAAGCACCGTCTGAGCCTCGTCAAGGAGCTTTACAGCTCTGCCTCGGGTGCCAAGGGCAAGCGTGTCGCGCGTCGCGCGTCCGCGCGAGACGAAGCACCGCAAGGCCCCGCTGTGTTTGACGCGCTCTTGACGCTGGTGGACTCGCTGACGCCGACGGCGCGCGCCGAGGTGTACCGTCTACTTCTTGACCGGCGCTGCCTCGTGCCGTTTCTCGTGCCGTCGAGCGACTTTGGCTTTCGGTCGGAAGCGAGCGCATTGAGCCTCG